GGAAAAAAGAACCACAACTTTCAACAGATCCGGCGCATAATCGCGGGGAAAAGAGGATCACGTTCGAAAAAATATTGAACACAATCTTACAATTTTATCCCCGGTGAAACACTTCATCTGGTTCATCCGCGACGCGATGGCGCTGTAGTGATGCGCGTGCACCTCCATGATCACCTCCGAGAACCAGGCGCCCGAGATACAAAGTGTGGCCCCGAAAACAGCGTGGCGACGACCTATCTGGTCCAATCTCTCACGTATTCACACGTTGGCCGGATACCATTCGTCCTTGATCGGCCGTGTATCACCAACAACACCAACCACCTCGCATCCACCAAACCAAACCAACCACTAATAAAACGAATCATCCATCCACCGGATAAAGAGCCACGAAAGAAATACAACCACGATTCCCTTCCACTTTTCTTACAATCTCCGTATTACACGTTACAATGTTTCGTAGCCGTCGGCGACCAACGACAGCACGCTTCTCCCGACCGCGTAACCATCCCGCGTGGATGATCTTCGAAACGCCGCACAATCCACACGATCGTGAAACCACGAGGAGGGGAGAAGGCGAGGAAGGGAGGGCAGGATGGGAGGGAAAAAAAAGGCGAGCGATACACGTGAAAGCGGCGGCGACAACAACAACCTCTTGCTCGCGTCTCTTACGCGACGCAAAAAGCGGTCACGGAGTCTCACGACGCTCGCGAGCTGATACAAAAGCAGAGGATAGGAAGAGGAGAAAGAGGCGAGAGCACGCGCCACGGCGAGAGGAAAAAGGCGAACCGGTCCCGACCGAAGTCAGCAGCAAACTGACTGGTCCGTGGCTGCTTTGGGCCTCTGAATGCCTCGCGAGAGGCCCCGGGTTCAGGTACCCCGGCAAGCCGCCGCAGCAGGAGCGGTGGTCCTCTGGTGGGGGGAATAAAAAGGTGAGCCTAGAAAGGACCTAACTAACGTTGAAGGGGGACCGAGACCCATCCAGGCCGGACGAGGACGGAGTTACGGTGGTAGGGGGGCGTGGGACAGAGACCGAGTATTGTGGAGCGGATCACGGGCGGGGTGGGGAGGGGAGGGCGGCGTTTCGAGGGAAAGGGGCGACCAGGGGGCAGCCTGGCCTCCTCGCAGTCCCCTCCGCCCCTATTCAATTATATTTCTCCGTGGTAAATGCCTATATTGTTACGTTTGTCAATGGCGAGCTAAGTGAGGGTCACGTAGACGGATAATGCCTTCTGAATTTTAGCCTGCGACCCCGCCGCGGTTCTCCGGCTTCTCTTCGCTCTCTTCCCCGTTTAACAGAGGTTTCGGCCACGGGGTTTACTCTCGGGGTCCCACCTGTTGTACGTTACGCCGATTCCGGCCGGGTGAAAAGTCGTTTCGGACGTTGATCTGTTGACAAGATCGGGAAGATTGGACAGGAAGAGAGGTTGCACTCGGTGACCCAGTAATGGGAACAGGAAGAGGGGGGGTGAGATGTGCGTTCATTCGCTACTTGGCGTGGAAATAAAACGTTTGTAGAATATGAATATCTATATCTTCTTTTTATAACATCGTGATTGGAATTCTACGTTGCGTAGTTTTCGTGTTCTATTTTCGCGCGGGAAGTTTGAAAATTATATGGGTTTTTTTTAATATAATGTGTATTTCGTTTTATTTCAGGAGTACGAGAACGATGAGAATTGTTTTTTCATTGCAAGTGCGGAATAATTTGAAAGTAAAAAAAGAAGGTGATTTAAAAGTATAATCTAATCGTTGTTAGAATTGCTTAAGATTAAGTTCTATCGAAATGTTTTTTCTTTTTCTTTCTTTCTTGAATTCTGCCTCAATTTGTTGGTAATTTCGATCGAAACGTGTATTCTTGTTGTATTATTTCTTTAAGAATTTTAATTCTATGATTACTTTCCAAAATCCGTTCCGTCAATAAGAAAGTAAGTAGACTAATTTTTTGCTCGTGTTATAGAAGTATTGCGCATCTTATTATACATTGTGTATATATTGAAAATGTATTGCGATGTTTTCTGTAATTTGTTGTGTTTTTCACTATTCGTTATTTGAAACATTACAAACATTTTGTCATTTGTAATTTGCGTAAATTTCGTTCGTTGAGATGATAATATGGTATAATACATATTTATCATTTCAATGATTTTTAAAATTTTATTTCGTTTAATTTATCGTTATTTCTTTATTTTTTCACAAAGATTGTGAATCATCCTGTTTCACTTGACAACAAGTTGGAAACAAGTGGCCGCTAAAAATATCGTCGCATACGAATCATAAGTCATATGATATTTCGACTAATAATAGAAAACACTATCAGTTACACGGACCAATAAAAAAAAAAAAAAATAGTTGCAATTTTTTCGATAGCACAGGACAAAAAATATTTTACGAACTTTTTGTTCTTAGTAATTTAAAGTGTTTTTACCACTATCAAATGTACATGAATATTAAATAGATTTTTTTAAAATAATTTTTTAAATTTCTATATAATTTATTTTTGTATTTATTATATTGATAAACGCCATTAATATTACGCTTCTTATCGTTGATATCTTCATTACCGTAGATATTATACTATTTTTAAATTGAAATATATGATTAATGCGTGTATACTCGATGGACTTTAACGTTAGTTTTTTCTTTTTTTTTTTTTTTTCTTTTTTTTTTTTTTTTTGCCAAAGACAATATGCAAATTCTATCTTGCAACAAGGACATGAAACAAACTTCGTTCTTCTAATCTTAATTCTTCAAACCAAAACGATAAAACGATATTTCATAATAAAAAAAAAGGATAATTTCAACGTTTCAAAAATCTTGATTCGATAAATTATTATATATATTAATAAGATATAAATAAATTAATAAATAATGTTTTATTTATAATAATTTTATTTCAATAATAAGTTATTGAATTGCATTTCTTTGATACGAATAGAACAATTTTCAATCTTTCACTTTACATTTTCAATCTACTTTTATACAAAGAATCTCCCTTTCTTTTTTTAATTATATCGTTTGAGATAAATTTTGAGAAAGATTTTTAAGATTTAAAGATATACAAGAATATTCAGATGAAATATGATATATAGATAATTTAAGAGAAAATTCTAAAGATTAACAAACACAAGATGTATGTAAAATGCCTGTTAAAGCTTATTTTTCAAATAATAAGCAATTTAATTTTGCATCAGATAAGGCGAAACAAAAAGAGAATGTGAAGCAGATACTCATTCTACTGCCATATTCAACATACGAGAATTTCTTATTGCATTACTATATTCTTCTACAGCTGTTTATACAGGGTTCTATTATTCGTTGTACAATCAAGGAGGGATGATTCTTCATAAAAGAAATTCTTCGAAAAGAAAAGAATTAAATTTTCTCATGAAGTTTTGTTTTATTTTCGCTTCATCCACAACAAAATTAAATTGTTTATAAAAAAAAAAAATAATAACAATCGAAAAATAAATCACAAAGAACATTTATTTTATTTTACAACAGAATCATCTCTTAAATCTTCTTCTTATATTCGTCAATTCAACAATTATCCACAATTTATTCGCAAAATTTGACATAATCTTTTTTTCAATCAATGCTCTCGGTTCATATTCTTTGTATCCTCCCATATTTTTTAATCGTACCACTCATCCTAATTACACCTAACATAAAGCAAGCGTAAGTAACTGTTCTCTAATAAACAAAAGAAAATAAGCTTCTTAAAATCAATATATACATTCATGATAAACAAAGATCGATAATTGTTGAAAACATTTAACGCACACTGTAAACAAAAAAGAAAAAAAAAATGTCACTAAACTGCAGGTAATTATCGAATCACCCTCTTTTCGATATAATACGCGTGCGATTTCTCGAGATTGGTATGTGTTACTTTTTCGAATATTAGATAGCGAAGGAGAACGGTATTACGTAATGAACGACAGTTTGTTATTAGGCGAACAATGAGCCGGGTATGCAGTTCCAGCTGCTTCCGGTTGAAAACTTTTTCTCGTGACCATCCTCGCGCGACCAGCCAGCATAGAAAGTGCATTTTAATCGTACGAGGAGAACGTATGCGATACGAAACGAGAGCAGACCGATTCCTCTCTCTTTCTCCCCCTCGAACGGTGTGGAGCAGGGTTGGCGGGAAACGACGACACTCGACCAGGCCTCATTAACGAGGGATTTTAATTTAATTTCATTCGTCGTTTGATTCTGTAACGGTCGCGAGAAACGAGAATAAGAGAGAGAAAAAGAGAAGAGAGAGGAAGGGGGAGGAGGGGGGGGGGGAAGGGGGCATTGAATGGGAAACGAGTGGGATAATAAAAAGAACAGGAAGTATAATGATACGGGATTCCAACTGAAGATGGGAAATTATTAATCCACGAGGCACGATGCATATATATATAAAACGATACAGTTTACGACGTAATAAAATTTGGATATTTAAAATTAGCAGGAGTTTCTCGAAAATTGTAGATCTTTGTAGATAAATTGAAAATGTAAATAAATTTAACTTTCACGTTCGAAAGAAAGAAAAAATTTCCTCGATAATTTAAGTCCCCCAATCCACTTTAATTCTACCTATATAATTTCATTCTCCTATATTTCTATATATAAAGAAAAACAGTATCTAAAACTTATTTATGGCAAAACGATGTAAACTTTGATCTCAGTTCTGAACGTTTTAAGCAACTTTATAATACTGTTATAATAACACCGAGGAGTTATTGCTTCTCATATTTGTTATACCTTTGTTTAAAAACAATAAAAACGTTATTTTTATTTTTATTCTTTTTTTTTTTTTTTTAGTATAAGTAAGTAAAAACAAGAGATATTAAAAACTATTAAAATCTAAAAATATACCAAAAAAAAAAAAAACCTCCTTGTTTTACTACTTTACTTTATTTTACTTCTTTCACTTAAAAAAAAAAAATTACCCTTTACCACGATATAACAGCATATGTCTTTTTCTCATCGACCTATAATAAAGAACAGCTTACCTTAAGCGTACAGTTATTGTTGTGATTAACCGGTGGATAAGCTGGATGACTTGGTAAGTGGGGGTGAGGGTGGCCTGGGTGATGTGGATGATCGGCCATCATTCCAGCACCGCCGTGATGATGTCCATTGCTGCCCATCCCCTGTCCAGGCTGAAGGGAGCCGTAAGGGGTGGCTGGGTCGATGGCGGGGCCATGAGGTGGCGAGTGGGGGCTTGGCAGGTCTGGGGTGGTGGTGGTGCCGCCACCACCGCCCCCACCGCCTCCTCCACCGGTGCTGTAGCCATGATGGGGCCCAGAATGATGGGGACTGCTCGAGAGCGAGGGATGATGCGGGTAGGCTGCGGAGTGGCCCGGGTGGTGGGGGTTCATACCAGCGGTTAGAGCGCTCGCCAGCTTGACCGATGAGAGGGTGGGCCCGACGAGCCCACCAACAGCTTCCCACGACGAAAAAACAAAAGCTCGTGGCCTATCTAACTGGAAGCTTATTGGGGAGCGGCACTGCCAGAACCGGCTCTCTTCTTCCGGTTCTCTGCTGATACCTGAAACGAGAAATAGCAAGATGTACATATACAAGGGTGGCTTTTGGGGGTTGTTCGCCGGAATGTTTGGATTTATGATGATGTCCAATGGGCTGTAGTGGGCGTTAGGATTATGGTTACAGGTGGAGGGTAGAGATTGGAAACGTGCTCATTATCTATTGATGAATCTATTCTAATCTAATTTCTTTGTAATTTAATTTTTCTTTTGTTCGAGGAAAATTTATTTTTGACAGGATTTTAATTACACCTTTATCGTGTATTCTGGAATGAGGAAATGTGCAAGTTATAAATTTTGATTCAGAAAGGAATAGTAGAATAATTAGATATTGCGTTAAATTTGAGCAGAAGTTAATTTCGAAATTACGTATAAAATAATCTTGGCTTTATATCTTCAACTTAATGTACGTGTTCATATAATTAGGTTACGTAAAGGGATTTGAACGCCATCCACAGTACCTAAGTAATAAAAGTCTATTGCTTGTTTTCTTGACCAGCAACCACGTGTTTCTGATTGCAATCTACTTTAATTTATGACGATTTATAACATCATAAAAATACCGCTATGAAATTAAATTGGAAAATCTTATATAACAATAGAAAAATCGGCAGGAATCCTGAAAAAAAAAAAAGATTCAGAATCCCGAATCATAATTCTAACGAAATCTACCTAAGTTAACTGTTGTAAAGTTTTACAACAAGTGATTCTTTTATCGTCTATTTGTACGATGGAATACCTTAACATTAATTTATATCCCGCAATTTGATAAAATTGTCACAATACACTTAAAATTCTCGATATATCCCTTAAGGTTAAATCCCCCTAATTAATCCCAAAATCAACAGTATCGATCAACAAATTCGATCTGCAAAGTTCGAACAGCCTTCGAAACTTCTTTCATCACGAGTCGACTCGTGGAAAAAAAAAATCCCCTCCCCGTCCCTCCTCCCGGAGGAAAGGAGCACGATATTTAGGCCGCGACAGTTTCCCCCAGAACTGGTCGTAAAGACCGCCGCATTACATTCCCCCCTCGATGGAACTGTGCCCTGGCTGATATTAATTTCACCGGCGTGGCCGGGGTTCCGTGCAATTTTATTGGCCCTTAAGACGACGCGCAACGATTTCATAATATCCACCCACCGCCCACCCTCGCGATTCCAATGAAACAGCGGTTCGTAGCGAAAACGATCCGTGGCGAGGGTGAGGGTGAGGATAGGGCACCTTTTACGATAGGGCAATTCGCGAAAGAGTTCGTCCGCCGAAGGAATATTTAAATTCAATCCGGATGCAACGATGGTAAAGCATGATGGTGTAGTGGAGGGAAGGGATGAAGATCCGAAGGGACGAAGGGTGGTCGAAGGGAGGGTGATAAACGTGGTCTTGTTCGCCCTCGTTTCTTCTCGCTTGTTTCCTTTGAGATATTTTCTTTTCTTTTCTTTTCTTTTCTTTTCTTTGTTCCCCTCCATCTTTATTCTTTACAGGATCATCCCCGCGACAAGACAGGCAGAGACGTATCGAGGATTGTTATTGTAACTACGGGAGAATACGATTGGCGTGATAAACATTTTACGAGGATCAATGCTCGATTGGTTATTGTTTATCGAGTGATTATAGTCGAACGACTACAGGCCATTTCAAAGTTTCCAGTTCTTATCGTGGAGCTTGCCTCGATTTTCTGAGATTACGAGTGGAAAATTATATGATTGATTGAAGATTAATGGTAATGGCTTCTTTTTTTGACATTACAATTGAAAAGTATTGTTTCCCTCTTCGAGATTGGTGATTTTCAATTTATCTATATAAAATCTCTTATACAAAAACTAAATTATCTAGCTAGAAGATAAATGTATCTGAAATAATATTTATATTATTGATGTTTGGACAAATCTAATCTGAACTAATTTAATTTATTAGTTAGTTTTCAACGGTTTACCTAATTTAAGAATAATAATTTAAGAATAGAAGTAATGTTAGTATTGCTCTGGCAGTCTGCTTGGAATAATAATCCATTCGATTTTAAAACGTTGATATAGAAAAATGTCGATTAAAAGAATATATTTATATCAAGTTATGATTATCATATCAATTTTCCAAAGATATGATCCGCAAAATGTGCTAGTCAAAAGTGTTTTCACGAGTAAAAATTAAATATTGGCGTGCAAGTGAGAAATAATTGAGAACCACTGTTTTAGACAACTGATTGGCGGATAGAAAACGTTGAATAGGGGAACGGAGAATTTATATTTCCTCGAGAAACTAAATTTTTTTGCGGCTGATGTAGGCGTGACGACATCAAAGGTCTAATTTTCCGGCCAATAATTCGAATCGGGGTCCAAGAAAAACAGAGATTCGAAGGAATTGATGGAAGATTCTCGTTTCGATCGTAGAGTTCCTCAATGGAGCTACAATGGCACCGGAAACGAGGCATTCGTTGCGGTAAGGAAGAACAAAGCTCGGTCTAATTACACCCCTTCATGATCTTTTCTAACGTTCAATCACTTTTTCTCGTTCTTTCGATTATCCCGCCTGATAATATCGTTAACGTCTTTTGATTCGTCACAGCACGACTGGTGGCATATGCATTCCTGCAGAAAAAGCGAATTCATCTTCTATAACATCTCCGCGATTCAGAAATCTAAATCGATCCTGCAGATTTAATCATATTGATATAAAAGGATTACTGAAAAATTGATAAACGTCAATTGATCCATTCGTTTTTTTGATTTATTGACTTGATATTTTTAAATAAGACTATTGATTAAAGAACTACTTTGATTACTAGATAACAAGATATCTTGGAAATTAAATCTTATCGAAAAAATAAAGAAAATTATAGAATAGATTTAAAGAAATATAATATTTAAAAAGATCAACATTTCCAAATCCTACAAGTTTTCTTTGAAATATATGAATTAAAAATAAAATATCCTGCATACTTAGTAAGTTTTTATTTAAATTTAAAAAAACTATGGATTAAAAATAATTCAAAGGGAACCAAAGCTTGCACAATTGCGGGTTCGATCTTCGAAAAACTCATACTTTCCCGGGAATCGTTAACTGGAGAAAAACGTTGGGCGAACAATGGCCGCTCGATTGGTTATCAAACAGCCTCGTTAAAGGTGGATAATCCAACGTGGCGGTGAATAGGGGTACTAATTACATTAAGAGGCGACGAGAGTCGAAGCAGCGGGTGAAGAGTGTAAAATTCTCCTCGACCTGTCGGCGAAGGCAGATGAAATGCAAATCGGTCGGTGAAAATTTTCGTGAAGCGGGCCGGCCTCCGGCATTAGAATTCATAAAACGAGCTGACCTGTCCCTTCGTTAAGGGCCGTGAAACCTGGCGTGTGACCTGCCCGACACGCCCACCTTAATTAACAATAATCGTCCTTCCTGGTAGCTCAGCGGGTGTCGCTTCGGGACAGGATCGTCCACCTATACTGAAACTTCTGTCTTTTTGTCCTGGACGAGTAACGAGTGCCTTTTCTTCTCCTCGTCGTGCCACGTCGCCCTATTTTGGTACCTGGTATTTAAGGTTATAACGGTGCTCACCGTTTTCGAGATGGAACGAACCTCACAAATATCCAATCTATTCTTCTATATCCGTTTTTCAAACGTTGCCTCAAACGTTTAAGGGATACCTGGTTCCACTTGCCGCTTTGTTAATTTTAATCTTTACTAATTGGAAAGTTAAGATTAGAAACTGAGTGAGTGACACGAGAGACGAGGCTTGGTTGCGTGCGCATGCGCAGGTACGAGGAATGTTTCTCTACGTTGGATATATACTAGTAGTAGTAATTTTCTTTCCGTTAAGATGCGATCGAGTGTGTTTTTCTTTCTGGAAGCAGCAACGTTTTGACGAATAAAATTTGTAATGTGTTTGTAGAATGGATTGAATATATGAAAAATGAAACGTGTGTTTATAATTTTGTAAGAATTTATATGAAAAACTTAATTATTCTTAGATCTAGAAGAATCTATTTACTTATATAAAAATGCAATCGTAGAATCTGTTTATTTGAAGCTTATCTAGTCTGTAAGTAAATCTGTTTATTTATGTATTTATTTTGATATTGCCAGAAAAACGCATTCACATTGTAACCTAATAGATTGTATTTATGTGCAATATTTGTGGAACAGGCATGATATCTAAAAATATATAAAATATTGAACATGAAACGCTCGTTATAATATTTAGATCAAATCTTTATTTGGATTCCGTAATTGTGATGATGAAAATACGAATATCCATAAACATCTGCAGTCTACAAATAGTGTTCTCCACTATTAGTTCAAAATTTTACGATTTTACAGCTCGTGTGCAGTGACAGGTTTAATGCGCTTTTTCCTAGCTTATCGTCATACGTGAAACAGATATAACTGTTAGAAGAAATTTCGAATTAAGAGAAATGATATTGAGATGATAATTTATTATATACATAACAGTTGTATATTTAGCATTTTAATGATCTTCGAACTTTGTTTAATTTAAACGATCTTTGAACTTTCCTTAACTTTTTTTTAATACTCAATTATTTAAAATGACCTTATCGAAGATAACCTAAAAATTTGTTATCTTCTCATTAAAAGATTTTTAAATCGTTCGCTATTTACTTGGCATATCTGCTATTAATTTACGAATATTAAAATTATAATTTTATTATTAGAAAAATTAATGAAATCAAACACTGGACGATATCAAAGATCTTTAATGTAAAATATATGCATAAGAGTTATCTAACGATGGTTAGAAACAAATGACTTAAAAGCTATTGCTACACAAACGAATCATAAACGGATATAAAAATCGTAAAATTTGAAGTAATAATAGATAACATTTCGAATTGAACTAATAGAAAAAAATATTGCAGTGTTGCTAGCATAACGAAACAAAAGTTATGCCACGATCGTCTTATGAAAGTCTTTACACCTCATAAAAGATAACAAGAAAATATCAGCTTATTCAATACTTATCGTACCGAACCTCGTTTCAATCTCATAAGAG